GAAGTCTTATTCCAACCAGGTGGTGAAATACCGCTTGTTTGCTGCTAAGACATATATGCCGCACGAGCTATCCCCAAAAACTGAGCTAGAACGTTGCTCCTGCCAAGGCTTATTGGAACAACTTGAACGCCGGCTCTTTCAGCGAATTATACCGTATGTCAAAGTTATAAAATTTCCTGGCAGATTTGGTCAATATGGTTTCAAGGGACATGCCACTCTGTTTGCGCTTGATATCTTTGAGTTTAGTGAAAAACTACCCGCAATGCTTCCTCGATCAAGCACCGATATTGGCATGGTTGTAGTAACTGAAACATTGGAGAATTATAATATCTCCCGCGATTACAGCATTTCTCCTCATCGTGTCTATAAGGCACTTGACTTGCTCATCGCAAACAATCCCCTGTATAAGGATGTAAGAGTGAATCGGAGCGCGAGACCCAATACGCAGGATATTATCCACGTGATTCCTGCTCAACAGCAGCTAATTGAAGCACAAGGGCACAATGCGTATGCCTTAAATCGCAGTAGTTACATGCGAATCAACGATTTGTCGCGAATCGTTCGTGCTTCCTGGCATCAAGGCGATCTTGAAATATTCTTGTCTGGATATGCTGGTCGTCAAGGCTTCGCGATGTTCGTCGCGAATTTCATTCGCGCAGCCATCCTTCCACCTAGCCAGTGGAATACAAATGTACTGAATCAGAACATGATTCAAGGCGATGACCTCTACGCATGGATCCATGTCGAAACTCGTAGTCGAGAATGCGCCTTTCCGATCCCAGAAAATGGCTATTTACAGATTCGAAATCTTGATGTTGTTCGCCACGATATACTCATGTTTGATGAAGTATTCTCCATTGAATACTACGATGTCTACGGCTCTTACAATGGCAGCATATGCGATCGCCAAAATGATGGAATAAATTTCCTCTGTATCCGTACCGCGTTGTTGTTGTTGTTCGCTGAACATAATTGTGGCCAGGGTTGGGCACAATGCACTAAAAGATGAATGCAATACGCTTTTCACTACCACTGTCTATTCAGTGATAGTTAAAATGCAGAATCCATTATCACTGAAAATTTTAGTGATAGTGAAAAAAAATGCACCATCACTGAACATTTAGTGATAGTTATAAACAAATTGCACTATCACTAAACCCTTTAAAAACAATTTGCACTACCACTTAATATTTATTGATAATTAAAATTTTTCAGTAAAATGACATTGCTTTTATCTGTAAACAAGCTTTATGGTTATGACATAGTTCTTCTTGAAGAATAAAGTAAGACTATATTAGCTGAAGAAGTGAAAAAAAAATATATTCAAAATAAACAATATTCTTGAGAAGAGTCTTCTAATTATAGTACGTCGCTTCAAAAATATAAAAACATAATTCATTTATTATTGGCCTTTTTTAGTACCAACATTTCAAAGTTTTGGTCAGAAAGATTTTGCCTTGTCGATCGATTGACAATCCCAGCAAAGAAAAAAAGTCTTTCCACTGGCGCAGATGAAAGAAGAGGTGTATTATATTTTAAACACATTTTTTTTTTATAGTAGGAAAGCGATGCAAAGCTTCAATGCTCCTATCCTCGTCATTCAGGTACAAAACTACTTCAGTTGCTATAGCTCCGCCATGGCCGATTTTCATCTAAAAAAGCAAATTATTTACAAAACTTTTGCAGGTTGGTTTCTGTTAATCAAATACCTGTAGACTCCTCATCGAATTCGCGAAATGATGTATTAGCACTTATGGAAGGCTGTAAATTATTATCTTCCCCTACCGGTTGTCTTTTAAACTCCATCGCATATTCTTTAAATTTCACATCTTCTAGAGATATCAGCACTTCCAGCAAAGTTTTGCAAAACTTTAGTTTGATATCGGGAATGAGAATTGCTGAAATAACTGCATCCCAAGAGTCAGAGTGCAAACTAAAAAATTTTCAAACCTTTGCATTAGCTTTGATTGCATTTGAATATTAGTTTCCGTCAAATATTTCATGTTTTCGGAAACTAAACGTCGCATTTTTATTTTGATGGACAGTAAAGTTCGAATAAAGTAACCAAAGAACATATTTTGCTCTCTTTGAAGGAAGTCGATAGCTTCTGCGATAGGTTGCATTACTTTTGCATATTCTTCCAAATACTCAATTTCTTCCTCATCGAAAGTAGAAATTTCCAGCTTATAGCATAGTTCACCTAATCTGTTTTTGACTTCTATTAACTTGTGAACCGAATCGTACAATGAGTTCCATCTTGTAACGCAAGGCGTAACCAGATTCGAAGATAAAACTGTCTATTATTTCCGCAGATTTCGGCCTGTTACATTTATTCCATAATTTTGTACACCTGAGTTAGCAAAATGTAAAAAGTTAATATATGTACATGTTATAGATTTAACCTTACTTCCTTAGAGGGTCATTTTTGATGCTATTTTTTCGTTTATTCTAAACTACCCTATAATAGGGCCATATATGCAAGGTACAATCTCTGAAAATTTGACTGAAATCTATCCAGTAGTTTTTGAGTTAAGTGCAATCATGGAAACGGCTATTATTTTAGATATGTAGATAATATATTAAATTCACAGTAAAGGTTGGCTTAAAAATAAAGCTATGTCTAAAGTTGAGCATTTCTATTATCGGTTTTTGACGTATGTATGTTTCTTGGTTGTAAACCAATTTAGAACCTTTATTTTAGACATAATGATAAATTTTAATGCAACCTTTAAATATAAAGTGAGCTTTAAAGTGACAGGTTACTTGAGAAAAAGGCCCTAAGAGTAACAGCGTTACACTTTTTTGCTTTTTTGGAGTTTCTATTATTTTAAAGTTAGGTACAAATAACTTAACTTTGGATTAGCGTTTTCCACTTTCATATGTAAATTGGCTATCTTCGCTTGGCTAGTTTCACTAAAAGTTTAGTGATGGTGAGTTTTTTCTAACTATCACTAAAGTTTTAGTGATAATGCAATTTGTTTTTCACTATCACTAAACCTTCAGTGATAGTGAAATTTTTTTTTTCACTATCACTAAATTTTCAGTGATAATGAATTCTGCATTTTAACTATCACCGAATAATCAGTGATAGTGCAATTCAGTGGTAGTGCAAAAATGCCCAACCCTGATTGTGGCATTCTAGTAGTCAAAGGTAAATCAATTGGCCTCATGTTCTATGAGAACAAATATTACTTTACCCACTCGCACTCAAGCGGCGCACAGGGAACAAGCGAAGCTCAGAATGGACGAGCCTGTGTCATCGAATGCGATACATTCGAAGAGTTCATGCGAATTGTTCGTCGCACTGTGCGTTCTATTGCTAATGTGCAGTATTCATTAATCTGCATCGATATTGTCATCAGAGGAGGAGTAATGCCCATGGAGAAATACGTGGATGAGCATCCAGAAATGCAGATAGTTAGGGAAGCTTCTTCCAAAAACGAATTAGAACCTGTCAACTCTGCTCAATTTGTGCCCATTCAAATATCAGTGATGGCTCCTATCAATCACGAGCAAACAGATGTCCATGATGAATTCGAGGAAAGTACAAAACTCAATGAGATTGTGCGAAAAAAAGACAACATTGTGAATGTGAACCGTGAAAAAAAGCAGAGGAGTTCTCATGGTTTCATCTCTTTCCTTATAGTGCCAATGGTCTTAACGAAGCTCGTTTAGTTCGAATTACACCACTGGACTATTTTCAACAGCGTATCCTTGGTACGGATACTCGTTTTCAAAAGACCGATTATCTCTTCTATGCCCTCTCGATGTTTGAGTTCCATCGCGTGCAGTCCACAATCAACGCTTGTGGCAGGGCCGTTCGCGGACAAGAAGGCGCCGTAGAAGATCTACACCTACATCTCAGAAATCTTAGGGGATCGGCTTCTTACTGGCGTACGGCGCACAACGAATTGGTAGCATTCATTCGTTGCCTAGGCCCTCCAACATGGTTTATGACATTGAGTTCTAATGACCTCAACTGGTTTGATATGCGCAAGGCTTTTCTCATTGCTGATGGGAGACCGATGAATTAAATATTGTTGTCGTGCAACGTTTACTTGAATTATATCCTGTAGGGCTGAGCCGCCACTTTTCACTTCGTGTCAACGCTTTTATGAAGTCAATGACACGCTTCTTGGTGGCAAGGTTATCGATTACTGGTCTCGTATCGAATTCCAGAATCGTGGAAGCCCTCATCTTCATCTTGTCGTATGGATAGAAAATCCTCCATCGTTTGAAACATCGGAAGGACTAGCTTTAATTGATAGAGTGATTTCATGCCACTTGCCTGATGAAGAAGATTCCGACTTACGAACACTTGTCATGCGTAACCAGATACATCACCACACACACACATGCTACAAGAACAATTCGGAGACGTGCCGATTTGCCTTCCCACGCAAGCCATGCCACCAGACCCGTATTGTTCCTCCAAGTTCAGATGAATTCTGTTATGGTTCCCATTGACTGTTGCAAGCATCACCATATTACATGGCTTAATAGGCAGGATTGTCTGTGGATCGGTTCTTGGAATACGTCGTGTGCACTGGCATTCGTGCCCGGAGCTTCAGTTGCGTAGGTTCCAAATACCGCAGCCAAAGAACCAACAATCCTACCTTCCAGTCAATAGTCCTAACGAGAAACTACTATCTTTGCACACACTGGGGATACTGAACCTGAAAAATACCTAATGCCACACACTCAGCGACCCTAGCCTTCTTTCCTTCCTACAACCTACTAATGCCAAGCAGCACAATTATGGGTTAGCTGGCTGCTTCTGTACCCACCCTACCTCGGCTTTGTCGTTGGTATTAAAGCCCCATAGGACCGCCTACATATCCTTCAGAATCAGACCAAACATAACCTTTTACAGTTCCAGAATCATATTCACATTTATTAATATATTCATCTTATATCTAATATAAACAAACTAGATGCGCTAATAATCTCATTGAATACTATCATACTAATATACAATTATTTAAGACCTAACCTGTTCGTATTATTCCACTAAACTATCGTTGTTAAATTATTTGTTCTTATTCTTAATACTTAATTCAATTTAGATTATAACAAATTTTAGTTATTTGTGGAATAAAATATTTGGTGCTTAAGACTTCAAATATTGTAACACCATTTCATTCTTGCCTTAAGTAGGCCAACTATACTTCGATTCAATTACTTCTATATGATCGTCCTAATTAATTTTATGAACCCTAACCTACGCAAACAGTAATCAATTGTAACCTCGGTTTTAGTTCAGATTATTATTACTAATATTTCTTTTTGGGTGTATAAGCAAAGTGAAAACCACGACCTACCTCAACGGCGATCAGCATATAGGCATGGTGATTGACCTACTCTCTATTGTACATATGTACGAGTATGTACATAAGTAAGCTGACCGGTGAGCAAAAAAAAACAATAGGTAGGTATATATGTAATTTTACCGGTTGTGTTTGCGAATATTATAACAAACAAATTGAGCAAATGCAAGTGAGAAACTATAAGAGATAGAAAACAAGAAATAGCAAATAGTCACAACAACTTACATTGATCGCCGCTGGTGTCTCCCACGCTGCGTTGAAGGCCTCCACCGCATAGCTGTTGTCTCGCGCTGTTATTCTTGGAAAAGAATTGTTAGTGAGTATTTTTCCCCTTGCTTTCTTTCTCCTACCTTCCCAACTTTCTTACTCCTTCCTCTTTCTATTTTAGAATATATAATTTAGTAAAATACATAGGTGATTTTGTTCAAAATATAACTCTTAGCCAATCCCAAAACTTATGGAAAAGGATTGGTCAAAATGGGCATCTAAATAGTTACCGTGCCTATATCAGTATAGTTGAAGAGAACAGAAGCTTAGAGCAAAAAATGGAATGCTATTCTCTCATCTAATGCATTGTATGCATTGTATAAGCTGATGATAATTATAAAACGATTTGAGATGTGCATGCAATAAGAAGAGCGCAAAACTAGTATTGTTGGCGCATGTGGCCATTAATTATTTAATTATGACGTTTAGGGCGCTTCCTCCACCTGTCTTCTTGCTCGTGCGTGAAAATGCAAAGTAGGTTTTATGAAGAAATTCTAAGGCTGGAGATTTTAGAAACTATTATGGGATTTCAGAAATTTTAAAACTGTTTAAATAAACTAAAAAAAATAAAAAAACTGCGATGCTGCCTGTAATATAGATTTTAAGAAGTTAAATAAATTTTTAGCGAATTTAGAAAAATGTAAATAATTTTAAGTATGACTCGAAGATATGGTGAGTAAGAAATATTGCGACAGACTATTCTGGGATATATTTTATGCGATGCGGTAGTATATATGTGATACTTTGTTAGATTAGATGCGATGATATTATAATAAAATGCTGCTGTTATGCCGGTATATGAGAACTGCTGTGATTTTGTTGTAAATGAGATGGCTGATTAGATCAATAGAGTAATGAGTCGTATAAGATGGCAGCCTTGTTGCGTGAACACTGCAGATGGTGACAAAAGGTGATATATGCCAGTATAAATAGGGATGACGGTTAGTAGAAACTTTTTGTTGATCGTTGAAACTCAGAAGGGTTTTCAACGGGACCACTTGGCCGCTTTTTGCAAGGACCGCTGTCCCGTGGACGTCTAGTACCCGCAGATCGCACTGCCGCAGCGGTAGATGCTAGAAGAATAGTACGTGTCAGTTTAACGCTTCTCTATTCTCGCTAAACTGTTTGGTGGGAAAGCTTACCGGGATCGTTATGCAAGGAGGGCTAACGATACTTTTGGCCACTGCCAAGCAGCGTCTAACTCCGTCTCGTAGACTCAATATGTGACTCACAATTTATGGTTTAACCGCGTTTATTGAAAGTAAAAATGACTTTTAAATTCCGGGGAAAGATAATTGATAAATTTAAATGAAAATTATTAGAAGTTCTACACGCTACTCATGTGTTGTCTTTATTTAGATATTGCACCACGTGCTACGATGTGAATTGATTGAAGTCTGCGAACAGAAAGAAAGACTAACTCGAGCCGATTTAGGACCTCACAGGAAGTCATATTATGTGGTTGATCGATATCTTATCGATAACCCTGTATTTGACATGCATGATATTTATCGGCTGTGTTTAGTAAGCAGCGGCAAAGAGATGTTTGTGGCAAGAAAGAACTTGCAAGCAATCATGGTTGAAAACCAGAATAAATCTATTGAAAAATATAAATAAGGTATGTTATATACATAAATAAACAAAAAAATAATTACCACGGAGGATTTAATTTACGTTAAATCTAAAGCAAACAAAATTGAGAGCAGTTAAAGTAGTAGGTACGAAAACTAGTCATGAACGTGAGTAGGAGAAGGAAGTTTAAATCCTACATAAGTACACCGGTACAAAACCCCCCAACTTAGAGTGTTGGTGCGGTATCTACTATCCGCTGTCTTGGATGTCTTTTCTATGAAAAATTTCTCTTTTCCCTGTTTTCTCGTCCTCTAACTCGTACATAGAGTTACCTTTTAGCGCCATCACTTTAGCTTTTATAAATTTTGGTGCCAGAATTTCTTCGTGGCATCGCTCAAAACGAAATTTCGCCGAAAGACAATGTCGCCTACCTTAAAGCCTTTAGCGTTGCTGCGCAAATTATATCGCTTTGAAGAATTTTCAAAGGCCTTCGTGATATTTTCGGTAATTGAACTTCGTATTAATTGCAGCCGGTCAACCCTGTTCAGTACGTTGTCGTCCAAAGTTGTCAGCTTCCTAAGTAACTCATACTCACTTGCGTGAGATAACATTTGTTGACCGAAAAGCGCATAATAAGGCGAACATCCAATTGTTTGGTGGTGTGAGCTCCGTAAGGCTTCAGCAATATCAGAAATATTTTTATCCCAGTGAGTTTGGTCCTGCTTTAAGTACGATCTTATTCCCGCCACGATGGATTTACCCTTTCACTCGCGTTGGCTTGCGGACTATACAAGGCAGTATATACATGGCGTCGCACTGAATCACAAATGGTTTGCTGTAGTTTGGACTCGCAAGTACTGGAGCAGAGCACAGTTTAGTTTTAAGTAAGTCGAATGACTTCTGAGCCTCATCGTTCCAATTGAACCTCTTTCCTTTTTTCAAAAGGTTGGTAAGTGGAGCGGTCACTGCCGCGAAATTATCCACGAATCGCCGGTACCAACCAGCCATTCCTAAAAAACGTCGCAACTGTTTGACGTTGGTCGGAATGGGGTAATTGGTAACGGCTGAAATCTTATCGGGATCCGTTCGCAGCGATCCGTCCCCAACAATATAACCCAGATATCGCACTTCTTTAATACAGAATTTGCTTTTGTCAACATTTATTGTCAAACCCGCCTTCCTTAAATGATAAGCAACTTCAGCTAGCACGGACATATGCCTGTCAAAGTCTTCTGACACAATCAACAGGTCGTCTAGGTAGACAAAAACTTGGTTTTTCAGAGTGGGAGGGATTACGCGATCCATCAAGCGACAAAGTGCTTGAGGGGCGTTGCAAAGGCCAAAAGGCATGACGCGGTATCGGTATAACGGACGATTTGGAACAGTGAAACAGGTGTAATCACGAGAGTTTTTGGAAAGAGGAATTTGCCAGAAGGCGCGACGTAAGTCTAATGAACTGATGAATTTAGCCTTGGGAATTCTGCTAAGAATCCCATCAATATGCGGTAGGGGATAAGCGTCCTTAACGGTTACACTATTAATTTTTCTAGAATCAAGACACAGACGGACTTTATTTGGCTTCTTCACCAGTACGACCGGACTTGACCAAGGACTATTTGGAGCCTCTTCGATTACACCGAGTTTTAGCATCTCGTCAATTTCGTCATGTACGAGTTTTTCGACCGCAGGCGAAATGGGAAAATACCGTTGCTTGACCGGACGGACGTTAGGTTCGAGTTGTATCTCGTACTCTAACAAGGAAGTTTTCCCTAAACCTTCTTTGTCACAGTTGGGGAAACGATTTATAACTAAACTAAGTTGTTGCTGTTGCTCGACATTCAAAGAAAGCGTGTTTTCCTTGAACATATTTGCTTCTTCTGTGAGATTTCCGAAATTATATTGGGCGCAATTTGAAATTTGAGCCAGAAATCAATTCCTAAAATTACATTTTGTGAAATGCTCGGGACCACGAAAAATGTGATGGTCTTTGTCAGATCTTTGTATTTAACATTTAAGTCAATAGTGCCAAAGACTATTTGACTTTTTCCGTCAGCCGTGCAAATAGCGGTTTTGTGCTGTTGCAACGCTTTCGGCTTGCAGACCTTATCTGCAAGAGTGCTGCCTAAGCACGAAACCTGCGCGCCACTATCGAGCAAACCAAAATATTTCTCTTCCAGCAATTCAATCTGTGCGTAAGTCCTCAAATCATGGTTTTTGTGTTGCAGCGAACAAATGAAATTTTTTAAATTTTTTCGATTCTTGGCAACGTTCTTCCAGAAGTTCTTTATACGAACCGCCGATCGATCCAATTCGAATATTCTCTTTCTAACTTTTTCATAATTTTTCAGTCGGACATCGTAAGGGATGATTTTCCTCAGAACTGGATTATCTACATTATCGGAAGCGCGTGTACTCAACTTCGCGTCACCACTATTTTCGTTTGACACATCGGGGCATATGGGTAACTTTTTACCGTTTACTGTTGGCTGTCGTCGCGAGGTTTCTGTTTCGAATCCTCGCTCGCTTTGGAGTTTCCCGGGCTGCAGGTGGGACATCTTGGGCGATAAGTGTTGGGTACACCGTAACCGTAGCAGAACACAGTGCGTTCTTCCAGACAATCGAAGTATCCGTGTCCCTCCTTGTTGCAATTCCAACACAGTGGCTTTGATTTACCTGTTCGCTTGGAAACTTCATTGATTTCAACGAATTCTTGTTCATCTAAACACTCTTCGGTAATACTAGGGTCAAATTGAAGTGCGTTCACCTGCCGCTTAGGGAATTGTCGTGTATTAGCGTTTGGCATAGAATAAGATGTTTTTGCGAGCTCTTTAACCAGGCTTTCATCACGCAAGCAGAGTCGGCGCAACTCAGCCAGCGAATTTATTGGCACAAACAAAAGCTGCTGGCGAACCCGAGGGTGTAAGTTGTGTTGCATGATTTCTAGCAACTCAGTTTCCGGTAGAGGTGCTTGCAGAGATTCAGCAATTTTCAGAATGGCATTGCGAAAATCGTCGAAACACTCATTCTGGCCTTGCTTTCTGGCTCTTATTAAATCTTTAATTTCGAAGTCGCTTTTGTGTTGCTGAAAACTGGCGCGCAAAGCTTGGCAAAGAGATGGCCATGTGACACGTTCGACGGATCGTCGGTATCTCCAATACCAGTTCTTAGCCTCGTTGATGAACAAGCTTTGCGCGTGCTCGCAAAGAAGATTAAAGTTGCCGCCGAGTACATCAATTACTTGTAATTCAATTCGTGACAAAAAACTGTCAACTGACAAGCTTGGTGACCCGTCAAATTTAACGTCCCAACTTGCGATTAGTTAGCTACTCGGCTTGAGTGTGGAATACTAGATACGTCACTTAGTCGTAGTTGATTAATTTGGTTACTGAAATTAGAATGGCTGTGATTGGGCAGAGGAGGATTTTCCCTTGGCCATACTGGTGTAGATCTATTTTGCAGTGGAACTTGTGCTGGAGTATTTGCAATTTGGCTGACATCAGCCGCAGGAGCTACTGGCGGTGAAGGGTTTAAGTTTAACCGCTCTACTAAATTGGCCAAAGTGTTTTCCAGCCTTTGCTCGATGATTTGGCTAACACGGCTTTCTAAACCGTCAAACATTGATGCTGATCGGGCAGATATAACTGCCGAAACTATATTTCGAATGCGCGTATCTTCCTCATTGCTAGCTGCTTCATTGCCAATTGTAAGTTGATCCCTTTGAGCTGGTACCCCCGCGGCAACTTCCGCTTGTGGTTGGGATTTTTGCAAGCTTTCGCGTGGATTTTGTAAATTTCGGCTACTGCTTGTATTACCAGTTACACTTTCTGGGAATGCA